TCCTTCCCTGCCCTCCATAACATGGAGCATGTCCACAGGCTGATTGAAAATATAAATTCAAATAATGGTTTAACTAAATCATTAACATCTTGTGACCATCTACAGCAGTGCTTTACACCCACTAAATTATGGTCTGTTGGGAAAGAGGTAGATTCAGAAGACAGCACTTAAAAACATCATTCTTTTTCCTCACTAAATTTGGTATTTCAAAGTTTACATAGGTTTTTGCTCAGTTAACAAAGGAAAGACTTAAGGAAAATCAATTAATATTTATTTTTATATAGGCCATTTAAGAATCCTGGAATTGATGGTAATCTGTGTATACCTGGTTGTCCTGGAACTTCCTCTGTATACCAGGCTGGCCTGGAACTCAGAGATCTGCCCACCTCTGCTTCACTAGTGCTGGGTGTGTCAAGATCAAAATAATTAAAATGCCCAGAGTTTAAGAAGAAATTATCAAACATAAGAAAATGCAATTACTGAGTGGAAAATCTCCTTAGCATGGTAGGAACTCTCTATGTCATAAAACAAGAGATAGACAAAAAATGAAGCTCACACTTGGAGAAAATTACCACCATCCAAGTCCAAAGATTACTGTCAAGCTGGGAAAGATGCTTGCAATTTGACCAAGTGCTAATTTCCCTTCTCTTTAAAAACAGTGATACGAAGAAATACCAATATCAGAGAAGAAATAAACAATGAATATGATTAGTAAGTGTCAATAAAGGTATCTTACTGGAAAAATAATTAGTTTGATTTTCAAAGATCTGCAAAGTGAAACCCAACTGAGGCTCTCGGTCAAGTGACAAACTGTCAAGTATTTGATATTTTGCTGGTGCTGGCTTTCAGCAATGACACAGCATACCATGGCCTGCTTTTTTCCATAGATACATATTTTTTATTACTTTAATTTAAATAGCTTGCTTTACATGTCAATCCCAGTTCCCTCTCTTTCCCCTCCTTCTGCACCCCCCCCCACCATCTCACCCAGCCTCTCCCTACCCCCACTTCCTTCCACATAGGGGATATCCAGAGTCTGTCATTTCTCTCAGGGCAGGGGTCCAGACACTCCCCTAAGAGTCCAGGCTGAAAGATCATCTCTCTTTGTGTTTTTGACACACGAAGTCCATTTGTATGCCAGGGATAAATACTGATCTACTTGCCCAGGGTCGCATAGGTTGCCCAGGCCTCCTCACTGACTCTCATACTCAGGGAGTCTGGATCAGTCCCATGCTGGCCTCCCACCTGTATGTCTGAGGTCCAAGAGCTCCCCCTTCTTCAAATCAACTGTCTCTGCTGGTTTCACCAGCCCATTCTTTGCCCATTTGCTCATTGCTCCTCTCTCTCTGTCATTGGGTTCCATGGGTTCAGTTCAGTGCTTAGGTGTGCGTGTTTGCCTCTGCTTCCATCAGTTACTGGATGAAGGTTCTAGGATGGCACATAAGGTAGACATCAAGTTCATTATCAGGAATGGGAATTTAAGGTAGTCTCTCCACTATTACTTGGCTTGCCAATTGGTGTCATCCTTGTAGATTGCTAGAGGATGGTCTGCATGCTTAAGTCCAGCTTGATGCAGGACTTCATGCTTTCCATGACCTAATGGGTTCTACTTTACATTTGAAATTATAAAAAAAATCATGTGCCAGGAAGTGGTGGTGCACGCCTTTAATCCCAGCACTTGGGAGGCAGAGGTAGGCAGATCTCTGTGAATTTGAGGCCAGTATGGTCCCAGTGAGTGCTGGGACAAGCTCCAAAGGTAGTCAGAGAAACCTTGTCTGGAAAAACAACAACAACAAAAAATCACATTATGTCTATCATTAACCTACTATAGGGATAGATTTTACTTGCTATTGTCACATACACATGCTAATGGTAGCTATAGAGGTGTCAGGTTCACTTGCTTTGGGTGTGTGTGTATTTAAAAAAACATGCATTCACTATATATGCTAAAATTAAAGCTTAAAGTTGAATATAGTGTTGCATACCATTAACTGCAACACTGACTGAGTCATGATGACCCCTATATTTGAGTCCAATTTATGATATGCTGTTCCCCAAACACCAGAAAAAAGAAGTGTTTTGGGGCACATATAAATTATGCAAAATTCTGTCTTTATGCCCTTGAAGTTTTATTGGAACAAAGTTGTATTCTTTCCTTTAGAAAATGGTCTGTATCTACTTTGACGATATCATTGCAGATCAAATAAATGTGATAAAGATATTGTAGCATAAAAAGTTAACCATATTTCGTTTCATACCATTTACAGAAAGATAAATGCTGAGCTCTGACTCCTGTTTAACTTGGCAGTTATTTGTAAAAGTTACAAGTCCTCTTTGAGTCACAAAATTAAGTCCACATTCAAGAGCAAATCTCACAGTTATACTTACATAAATGCATAAATATAAATTGGTAAATGATCATCATAAAATTATCATTTACATACATAACACACACACAAACACACACACACACACACACACACCATGCATACATGCAAGACTAGAGATAAAACCCAGGAGTAAATCATGCATGCTAAGCAGGTACTGAAGCAGTTACCAAGACATTGATAATGTAATATTTATTGAGAAAGGACTGATCACACCATTTCAGTCACTAACATAGTGAAACACTGAAGCATGAAGAAGACTGTGAAAACTATTGTGTTGAAATGGACTCATTTTGGAAATACATTCAGTGGAAGAGGCAAACCAGGATGATAGCTATAAAGATGGATACTACCATTTAGGTAAAAAATGAGAGGAAAGAATGCCTATATGTGTATAGGCTTTATCTACATATATTTTATCACAGATAAAACATTTGTAAAAATTATGCAATAAAGATGGTTGTATTCCTGTTGTGTAGCTTCATGTGCTAATTCCTGAGTTCCTATTGCAGAATTCTTGCAAGAGGAAATAAATTTTCAGAGCCTCTGGAAAAGAACCTGAAAGGAAACATATCTGGAATGAAAAGCAGAGACTGCCAGTCAGTATTCACACATCTGGCTTCCGGAACTATCAAGGCATATGCCCTTGACATTGGCTCCCTAAGGAGAAAGAACATAAGGGCAGTTAGAAGGATAGAATTAGTATGATTGATAAAAGAAGGGGCCTTAATGCTAAATTCCAGCCATGTGAATTTTATTGATTTTAACATGATAATCTGAGAATCACTGTGGCACCAGGATAGGGCTAAGGAGAAATGTCCATATACCACCCTTATAAACACTTGTGTGTTTTTTTTTGTTATTATGTTCTAGTCTTTAAAAAAATTGGAGCAGCTGAGACAACAAGACAGGGTGGTCCAGGGATAGAAGTGCAGACACCTGGATTCCCCTGCTTGCCCTTGCTTAGACTTGCCCTGGAAGACAGGGCTGCCTGCTTTTCACTCCCTCAGTTTCCTGTCCCCAGTGAGGAACTGGCAGGGTTGAACAGGATGCCATGCGAGGGTGTATATATTATAAGCTTTGGAGTTTGGCTATTTAGCTGATTTCTATAAAGTGTAAGTGTGTGTGTGTGTGTGTGTGTGTGTGTGTGTGTGTGTGTGTGTGTGTGTCTACCCTCAGAATCCTTCTTTCAGGCTTCTACTCAGAACTTTTCTAGAATATGTCTTGGAGCATGTTCACTCTGATGGCCGTCATGCAGCACTTGGACCTGGAGGAGGAGGAAGAAACAAGCTTATTCAAGAACACCATTTCTAAATGAAACCACTGAGAGACTGAGTGACTTGGCCTGGACAGTTCTTCCCAAGTATTGAGGTGCACAGGGACCATGTGAGAATCTTTTTAACATGTGGGTATGACTCCACATGTAAGGGCAGGTTTGATATTCTGTATTTCCAATAGGCTCCAAGGAGATGCCAGTGCTATTGTTACACAGATTGCCCTTGGTGCCACAAGGTACACATCTTCTTAGAGGCTGAACTATCCTCCCTATCACTCCTAGGTTCTGTGTGCTTTTATGCAGAGAACCTAATTAGGACATTAATTTCTGAAAGACCATAAAATAATCAATAATCACGTGGAAACTCGAAACTTTTGGGTTTCTGCACCTCTTTCTTAGAGTTTCCAATTATGTGATGTGATAATTAATCATTTTAACACAACTTAATTCATTAATTGTTCATTTTATTTGTTCTGTTTATGCCTGATCTTCTGAAACCACTGCTAAGTCCTTTAGGGAAGCTAAATTAGATCTGTTATGATCTGAGTCTTATCCTTTATTTTAAATTGTTTTCTTAGTGTTTGTGGATTCCTAGTATATTTCTTATAACTTCCAAAGCCACTGAGGTTATTGGATTGAAGAATAGTTATGACTCTACCACCTGGGTCTGAGCAGTTAGGTAATACATATTGGGGACGCCCAAGACACAACAAAAACATTTTCTAGAAAAGCACTTACCACCATCTGTTTTTACCTTTTTCTTTGTGTATTTGAATTGATAAGACCCAAAGGCCATTTTAGAGTGAATGGCACCTCTACTTTATTCCCAAAACCTATATTCCAAGGACATTTTAGTTACAATAACTTCATAAACATTTGGTATTGAATTTTTGCCTTTATTGTTGTCTATTTTGAGACTTGTGATAAGCGAACAGCTATGACGTTTTCATTATAAACTACTCCTTTATTTTGTTTTATCTTTCTTACTTTCAGTTTGATTGGGGAATCATCGCAAGGCATCGTCTGAAGAAGAACCATAGCAGCTAGAGATGCTGATCACCCACCTTTGGGGTTTTCTCTCAATCCTTTTTGCACTCTTACTTCCTCTCTAATTCCCGACATCCACATCTAATTCGCCTCACAAGCACAGTTCCAAGACTTGCCTTTCCAAACTGCTGCTTCTGTACTTTGTCCTGGCGCCTCACCTCCAGGAACAAGAGGCTCTTTCATATTTATCAGCAGTTAATTGCAATCACTGCTACTTTATGACCTCACAAAGGCCTTCATCTTCAAGGTTCAGTCATTGTTTCCTGCTGTGTGGTGAGCTTGGTGATCACCATCTTTTCCCACCATTCAACTCACAGAGGTGCTAGCTCAGATGAATTTTCCAGCCTGCAATTGGGTAAGGCAGTGGCTCAATCACGTGAGTCAAGTTTTGACATTTAATGGGATATGAATTATCATTGAACAATGTATTCTCCTGCCTCTAGCTTACTGTGGGCAACTGGGAACATGTTTTCCTGCATAATGACATCTCTGTAATGGAAAGAGAGGATGATTATTCACAGGCATTGGCATCTAGGGGAACATTTTGAAAGCATCAGACCTTGGCCTGTTGTCACTTTTTTTCTGTCTCATCGAAGGGCCAATATATATGCATGACAGTGATGATAACATGGAAAGCACACAATGGCACCACCATGCTAGGTGGTGGCCCTTTTCTCTGTACTTCAGATATGGGTATATCATGTGTCTTTTGAGACACTGGGAGTGCTTAAATCTTACATAATGGCCTGTTCTTTATATCTGATAGACAAAATGATTTGGTGACTCTCCAAGCACAAATAAAAATGTTAAAAAATCAAATGAAACAAGTTTCAATGGTTAAGTCACTTCAAATAGCCACCCCTTGAAAAGGGAATGGTTGACATGAGTGAGAAACCAATTTATTCTTTTGGCAGAGAATGGAAGCAATGATCTTAGACTCATGGTATGCTTTGAGTCCACTTCAGAATTCTCTGCACTGTTCCCTTTAGCTGTTACTTATTTCATGTGTATTTACCTCATGTCCAAATAGACTCCATTTTCCTCAAATGGAAAAGGTACATTTTTATGTTTCCTGTTCCTGTTCTGTTTATACTCAGTAGGGAACACAATTGCCGGCATAGAGTAGAAACAAAAAAAATATATAAAATCATTTATTATCTCACTATTCTTGATATAGTTGATGTCAAGGGAGGCTAGACTGTGTTCTAGGTTTAGTCCTGATCAATTATATAGTATCCCACTTAATTCTCACTACCAACTCAATATATGTATTTTATGCTTTTTTTGAGTATGGAAGGGCTATTGAAATTTGCATAGTGTCAAGAATCAAAGTCATAACTAAAACCCCAATTTTTGATAAATGTTTTTCTCTATCATATGGTGGTGTGATTATACTATTGCTCTTAAGTTTTGATCTGGCTCTGATATGTTTTCCTTAAAATAGACTCTGATCATCTGGGTCTAGCACCAGACCCTTCTAGACAAAACACAAAACAAAAACAAAAACAAAACAAAAAAAAACAAAGACAGTATTGTCTTGATATTTGTTCTGAGTTAATATCAGATATATTTTAAATCTTTGAATAACATTGCTCCATTCATGGACATACTGAATTCTTCTGTATCTTTTCAAAATAATTACTTATTTGTCATGGCTCATGAGAAACTCCCAGGTAACCTGGCTACTCAGTAGAAGATGTTAAGCCATTACATTTTGGGAAGATGTGTCATACAGCGAATACTATCTGGTAATATTCTCATTTCAGAAAAATTTCATGTACAATTTACCAATGTATGAAAAAAAAGCTATGATCAATGTGTTTGACATATAGCAGATATTTAGTAAACACTGATGTTTATCTTTCTACCATTTTCCTAAAGGTATGTGCTTCAAGATAGGGGATTTGTAGGTTCCAGTAATATTATACTAATATTCAAGTTTAGGGAACGCAGAACCATGAGGAGATATGGGAAGTAACTTCTCTTATTAGCATTGTTTGACGTGAGGTAGGACATTGGTGTTTCTTTCTTGCCTTCTCAAACATTAATGCTTAGAATTCATTGATTGTTAGAAGAGATTCCAAACATTTATACATACTCCTGATCAAGTAAATGATCTTGATTCACATTTATAGTTTTTCCTCAGACAATGCTTGTCAAACTATAGATAGTACTGATCAGAAGATTAAGTGTTCTCAGCTTGTGCTGCCTGACAAAAGTTATTGGTACTTTCTGGGCCTCAGTTTCCTCATTTTTAAGTCAGGAAAGTTGTACTTCCCAGCATGGCTTGTTCCACCCATCTGGAACTCTTCTGGTAGCACTGATGTACAGCTGGGCACACACTCTCTACAGCCCAGTAGCTCACTCAGAAATAGAACTCTTGACACTGTTGGTTGTGCCTTAGTTTCTTTCCTCAGGGGGTTGCTTCATGGTGTGCTTCTGAGGTTTGTGTGATATACCTACATAAACATGAAACTGCTTAAAACTGTGCCTGACCTATGGAAACTGTTAACAAATATTAGTTACTATTTCATTTGGCACAGCCATCTCTTATGCAACGGCAATTTCATGGGATTTCAATGATGAAAGTTCAAATGGCGAACATAAACTCAGTGGAGAAAACTACAGCATGTTTTGAAACTCTCTCTTTCTCTGTCTGTCTCTCTCTCTCTGTCTCTCTCTCATACACACACACACATGAACTAAACACCCTCAAGCTTTTAAATTCATAATTGAGTTTTTTCCCCTCACATACTTGGGTGTGGTGTCTTATATGAGAAACTTTTCATTTTAGTTCTGACCTTATGTTTCTTTCTCATTGACAGATACCTCTTGGCAATAAAAAAGAAGTAGTTTAATGCAATGTTAAGAAAATAGTGTTCTATGTAGCTGGGGAGGTGTGGCTCACAGGTTAAAAGCACTTGCTGATATTTCAGAGGACCTGGGTTCAGTTCCTAGGACCCACATGGCAGCTCACAAACATCTGTAATTCCAATTGCAGGGCATCCAACATCCTCTTCAGACTTCCATGCACACCAGGCATGCATAAGATTCACATATTCATGCAAGAAAAACACTCATACAGTGGAGAATGTAAGTTCTAAATATAAAATAATTAAAAAAGAAAGTGGGTCATAATTCTGGATCTGACACTTGTTAAGTTATGGTAATAGGCAAAAAGTAGATAATAATATCTACTTCATAATATCTGAGTATGATACATTTAGAAAAGTACCTGGCACACACTAGGATCTTAAGAAGTTGCCCTAATTAATGTGTATTGTATTCCATTCCTACTACAATTGTCTTAAAAGAAGCATTAAGAGCCCAATCACTGTCCATGGGAAAGTATTTTGGGATGACTTAGGCAGGTAAGTGTCTGGATGCTGTAGCCAATCTGCCACATTCTCTTTACTAAAGTGGGATTCCATAACTCCATATGCTGGGAGCACTGTCTGTTAATGCCTTACAGCTGTCGCTTCCTTTGGAGAATTGCCCTTGACCAAATGGGGAATTGCCTAGCCTAGAATTGCCTGGGAAGTTTTGCAATGTCCCTGCCACTGGGGGTGGCCCATAGCCAGTGACTCGCTGATGCAGGGGCACAAAAGGACCCTTTGCCTCAAAAAGGGAGGGAAGTAACTCTGTTGTAATCCATGCTCTGTAGCTCCTGTGGGATATGTCTGAGGCTAGATTCTAGCGGAGACCACACTCTTACCCTCCTCCCTCTTCTCTCTCCTATTATATGAGAAACTCATCGACAGATGATTTTATAGCAAGGCACGGGGCACATATCTGTAATCTCAGTACTCAAAGTAAGTCAGGAGGATGGAAAGTTGAAGGTTACCCTCAGCTAAATAGCAAAACCTTATCTCGAAACAAGCAAATATACAACCAAATGAATCTTCACCTTAGGGTCTGCTTTGACATCCATTACTTGGATAGAATGATAAAGATTAACTGATTGTAAACAGTTCTAGAGTGGTTGGGGACATTGCCAATGGACTTTCTAGCAAGGCAAGTAGCAAAGGTAGGTGTAGTTTTCATTTTACCCAAGTTTTTGTTTGGAGACAGAGGCTGCTGTAACCGTAGGAGTTGTGATGACCAAAGGACTATAAGCACTGCCATTTAGGAACTAGCAACAATGGTCTTTCTGCTGTTGAGGTCTGTGTGCCTGTGGTGAAAAAAAGTCCTATGCATAGATTTGATGAATTGTGCGACATGACAATGTTAATACCAAATAGACTTGGGGTCTTTAGCACTGAAGATGCTCTCCATCCCAAATGTCTTGCTCTCAACTTCTGTCTGGAAAATTTCTCCTATGATGTGATAGTTTCTTTCCTTAAGTATTCACCGAAAAAGGTTTTCAATAGGACTTTAGAAATGAGCAAAGACGCTGAATATGAATTTGGCTTCCTCTGAGGCATTAGCAGGTAGGCACAGAACAAGTTTTCTATGGCTGGGTCACAGTCCTCTGTCTCCAAAAGAAATAGGAGGTAAAGTCACATAAGCACAGATTTAGTCTTTTTAAGTGCTATAGAACCAACCATTCACCTGGTTCCAAGCCTTAGCATGCACTCACTTAAGTTCCTGCAAGGGTGGGAGGGGGGAACTTCTCCTTCCAAAGTTTATAAGGTATCTCTCGTCCTACTTCTGCACTCTTGTCCTATTTCTGCACATTCAGTTTTACTCCAGTCTCTATGGGATATCTCATAGTCATGTTTATATAAATGTAATTCAACAAGCTAACATAGAATAGCACTGACTGTGTATGTCAAAGGGTACTGTAATTCAGAATAGTGTATACGTTGTATGTATATTAGGGACAAAGAAAACATATGAGACTATGGTGGGTCATGCAGATCTTATATCTGTAATTTAGTACAGGGTCCTCATATTAAAAAGGCAACTATAGTGTGAGTGTCTGAAAAATACTCCCGATTATTGTTTCTATTATTTTAGAATGGCTTTAAAACTAAAGGAAAGTGAAAATACTACAAACAAGTGAATAATAGCAATATCCAAAACATGCAGCAAGAAGTAGGGATAGTTAGGAAAACCCTTAATGGCAGCAATATTCCAATAACTTTCTACATTTATGTCACTAGTTCACAATCTTTCTAAAATTGGTTTTCTTAGTTCTCAGGAACAGTGAAGAGACATGTGAAATGGTTTTTGTTTGATGTATTTCATGAGAGAATTGGGGTGGCCAGTTTTAGTGGTAGAAGACCAGACATATGTCACCTCAAAGCTTGTTTTCAAGATGTGACTCATTTAAATGTCCAGTAAGTAACTGGTAGCCTTTGTGGATCTGGTCAAGAGACAGAAACGTTTGTTATCCTAGGAGTGAATTGCATG